CATACCACGAAACGTTAAACATGTCCTGCATCATGTCTGCTAATTTCAAGCGTTGTCTCAAGTTCCACCTGCTTTTGGCGTTCGCCGTGGCCAACCATTTTTCAGGTTAACCTTTTTCGATGATATACTTTAAGCATTTCAAATGTTTAGTGCGCGCGTACGGTGTTTTTACACCGTACAAAGCACTTTCCATGTGGTATTATGTTTGTTATATACACACTAAGATTGAACACCCTCCTTAAATTATGACAAGCATTATTTGAACAAATGTGGTCAAACAACAATCTCTGAAAGGAAACAGCTTCGTAAAAAGGGAAAGAGCTCAAATAAAATCCAAAAGTTATGAATCCAAAAGTTACGAATCGTGGATAACGAAACGCTTTTCGCCCATGGCTTTCGCCGAGACAGGAACTTTCAATACTAACGATGGAAGAAATGCGAATAAAAACTATTTGCAAAGCGATGGCCTGTGCGGTGTGTAAAATCCAAAAGTTATGAATCCAAAAGTTATGAATCGGGGATAACGAAACGCTTTTCACTCATGGCTTTCGCCGAGACAGGAACTTTCAATATTAACGATGGAAGAAATGCGAATAATTAACAATTATTCCACGAGCGCGCGTTGGATATGAGATGATAGATAGCCAACGAGGCGCGTAGCGCCGAGTTCGCTATAATCATCTCATATCCAACAAGCGCGAGTGGAATAATTGTTTTATTAAAAACGTTAAATTAAGTTATTAAATTTTATTAAATTTTTAGCTCCCTTTTAATTTTAAGCTGACACGTANATATTATTAAAAACTAGATCATTGGATAATGCAATTCAAGACTTTTTATTGGCTTAGCCATTATGGTATATCAGCCAATATACCATAATCTACAAATATGGCAAGCATACGTGTCAGCTTAAAATTAAAAGGGAGCTAAAAATTTAATAAAATTTAATAACTTAATTTAACGTTTTTAATAAAACAATTATTCCACTCGCTCTTGTTGGATATGAGATGATTGTAGCCAACTCGGCGCTACGCGCCTCGTTGGCTATCTATCATCTTATATCCAACGCGCGCTCGTGGAATAATTGTTAATTATAACATAGCCTTACAAAAGCGCGCGTTCTGATTGGCTCATACGCTCAATCCATTTTCCCGTGGGTTGCACGCTGACGTCAGTTTGTTTTGCTTTTTTTTTGTCCCGGCAACTTTTTCGTCGATGTTGCCACTACATACAACATAATTCCTGTTTTATGTGAGATTTTTGCAAGTGAAATATGAAAAAATCTTGTAATTTTTCCGGAGATGAGGAAGATGATTCTTGTGAGCAGCCAAATTTCGAGCTAAATTTTTTGACCAGCTAAGAGTTCGAGATTTGCGAACTTAAGCAAACAGGAGCTTAACCAGCTGGTTGAACAAAGACACTAAGAAAAGACCAAGAAAACAACAAACTGGTCTGTATCAACCCTTTGAGGTGAGTAATAAATAGCATCAATTTTAGAACTTGAAGTGTGTTTCAGCGATTTAGTAACAATAAAATTCTGTACAAGCGTTCATTGTAAAACTTTTCCGGCGTGCGAAACCATTTAAATGCTTCCGGCGATCAAAACTGAACTTGTGAGTTGTTCAAAATGTACTTTCCTATAAGCCTTAGTTGTCTGTTATTTTACTGTACTAAATAAATTGTTAGTCTGAGATCGAAAAAACGCAAATTTTCTCACCGCAATGATTCAGGAAAATTGTTGCTGTGGTACTTGGGAGGTTTGCTAACCACTCAAGAAGCTAGATGTCGCACTCGGCTATCGCCTCGTGCGACTCTTACGCTTCTTTCGTGCTTAGCAACCTCCCGCGTGCATCCATAACTCGATGGTTGCACGCTGCAAGCTAACCATTTCTTAATTTGTAAAGCGCTGGCTTGTGCGGCGTACCAAAACCGCGCCAACCAGCCTTTAATGAGAACTTCAACTTGCCGTACGGCTCACACGTGGAAAAACATGATACGAGATGATGGAAAAGTGCAAAAATAACGTGCATGCACGATTATTTAACGTGAATTGACAAATCGAGATGGCGTAAAGTGCTAAAATAACGTGCATGCACGATAATTTAACGTGAATTTACAAACATACTTAAAGAATCTCACGAAAGTGATAAATTATTGTGCATGCACGTTATTTTAACGATAAACCATAAAACAGGCCATGAACAATGAAACCCGAAATCGACATAAAAATAGCAAATAACCTTGGAAAGTAAGTTCAAGGCGATTTTCCGATATTAAAGTACCCAAAAATAGACACAGTCGGCTATGACGTCACGTGGTTTTAATGGAGTGTTTACATCACAAAGCATTAGAAAATGGCGTCGCGATCTTGCTTCGGTTGTAAGGATCATGATGGATGTTGCTCTTGTTTCTTCACACAAGGAAATTTTGAATGGTCAAAATCTTTTGGAAATTGTCCAAAGGTATCTCTTGATACAATTTCGAAGCGTTTAGAGAATGGAGGAAAGAAAAATGCCCGCAAGAAGAGTTATAAGTTTTTCAGAGAAGGCTGTGTATGATGTTTACCCTTCGACCTCTGCCGCGGGTGAAAGTCTCGTGAAAGCTCGCTGTTATCGATCGCTTCGCAAGAATGAAGAACCCCGCCACTTAGTGGTGAAAATGAAAATGGAGATCGAGCAGTTGTGGCTCAGGTGCACTGGTCGTGCAAGGGAGGAAGCGGTGGACTTTTGTGTTTTTCTTTCTGATACAAATGAAATGTGTGTCGATAGAATCCCGTTTGTTGATACCTACTGGTCCACCCAATTACTACCTAAATTGAAGGAATTCTATTATGATTATGCCTTAAGATATCTTGTTCAGCATTTTACAGTAAATGATTAGAGTTGAAATGGTGGAAACTATTCTCAACTAATATTTTTCTACCAGCACTTTATAGTGAGATTTTGGCCTCTGTTTCCTCTTAGCAAAAACATTTTACATACCTTTATGATGCATAAAGGTGAAGAGATTCTGTTAGTCAATAAAACTTTTATTTTACTACCAGCACTGTATAGTGTGCTGCAGGCTTCTGTTTCCACTAGGCAAAAACATTTTAAATACCCCTATGATGCGTTAAGGTGAAGAGATTCTATTGGCCAATAAAACTTTTTGTGAATTCCAATTGGCTGCACATGAAGTATGGGCAAATGTATGAAGTACGTAACAGTAACATAGAAATCATAGGCATGTGGCAATAGTGGGCAAATCATACTGTGAAAGGCACATTACATTTCCTGTGTTTATACATGTTATTTTCTCTCTATAGTCTTCTGTTGTAGAACACCACAGTTGGGAAATCAAAGTAAAATCTAAGGGTGTCTTTGTTGACTAGCAGAAGAATAATTATCTTTCGTGATATTTCATCTTTAGAAAGTACTGGGTTTAAGAAATTAGAAAGGAAACAGGCAACACTATGTCTGATTAATACTGCCAAACATAGAAACTGGAACGACAGAGTGGAAAATTCTGAATCTTCGAGCTTTACCTATAGCTCTTTCAACATGAATGTGATGCTATGTTATTGTCTGGGTCCTGATTACATCGCCCTCTTCAAATCCCGTTTTGTCCTCCAAGAAGGGAGGAATATTCAATTTCAATTTCAGTTTTGCAAGGTCATCACCAATGTCAAAACCTTTGTCTGCCATGATGGCATCTCCTCCTTTTAGTTCTCCACATTGTACTCTCTGTTTCACAGTTTCCAGAAACCCTGATCTCTGCACTATTTGTTTGTCAGAAATGGAACCCTCAAATAATTGAGACAGAAACATAATGCCCCCATTAGGATCCACTCGTATAGCAGACTTAAAAGTTGTGTTCGTGTTGTAAGTACTCTAACTCTCAGTGTGCTTTTGTAATGAACTGCGGACTTGGATTTTTAGTTCAGTCGCCTCAACAATCACAATAGTGTTAGGATATTTCTTGATAAATTCCTCTAGAGAATGTTTTAAAATTATATCTGCTATATCAGGCATGCCGGCCCGCTGTATCTGTGGCATATGCGCACGCATGCCATGTGCGTACCTTGTAGATTTGAGAACCGCCATGTTGAAAGTATAGACGTTAAGTTTGTATTGAGTTGTAGTTTTTCGTCTGACTTAAATCCGCGAAACACAACAACAGCTCTATGTGGCCATATTTTTAGGCTGCCAATTACATTGTACACAAAATTAACCCAAGTAAGATTAATATTATTTACAGTACTCTCGGATACACAAAACCTCTCTGCTAAAAAATGTTGGATAGTCCCATCCTTAGCTTCATCAGTAACAGCAACAACAACAACATTTTTATTCACACTATTCAGATAGAAGAAAAAGAGTAAGGAAAAAAAACAAGTATAGAAAACAAATAATAGAAGATATATCATTATATACACAATTTTTTAATTACTGTACAACAGCCAAAGTAGTTGGCTTGGCTAACATGAGAAACTCATCCTCCACTGAAAGCTTGCGTGCAGTGGGTCTTGTCATTGTTGATTCCCTTTTAATGGAATCATTCTCTCCTTCAATTTCACCTTCCTCGAACAGTTTTTCAATGTCTAACACGCTTGATTTTCCAGCTTCGCTATCCCAGTAAATGAAATTTTTTCGGTCAAGATTGGGCAATAGAAATTAGTAGTATAGTGAATGGGGGTTCTCGCGATTTTGCGATTTTGCGTTCAAATTTTTGATTCATCAAAATTCAAAATTGCTGACTCGTCAAAATTCAGTATGGCGGATAAAAAATCTGACAAAAATCGAAAAACACTTAAAGAAAATTCACGTCTAGAAAATATGGAAAATAAAAATCGAAAAACACTTAAAGAAAATCCTCGTATAGAAAATATGGAAAATAAAAATCGAAAAACACTTAAAGAAAATTCACGTATAGAAAATGTGGAAGAAATTTTATATAATCAATATACAGATATGAATAAAAACGAATAACAGAATCTGACAAAAGACCAGCTCATTGACATAATGAATTTTATACCTGTTCCAAAATATCAACCTAAACCAACACCAAGGAAAATTAAATTCACTCCATCATCCAATAATATTAAACAGATGGTTCAAGCTTGTGAAGAAAACATTATTGAAACACCTATAGAGTTTCGAGATGATTATAAATCAGTGCCTAAACCAAGAACAAAAAAGCCTGTTTCTCTACTGAGACAAATAAGGCTTTAAAAGGCTTCACTAAATCATATGAAATACGCATAAAAAATGATAAAGATCCATTGATTCAAATGCAGAGCACAAGATTGGCTACTGGTCAATATATTAAAAAGATATTGAATAAAATGAAAGGTCTCAAATTCACAGAGACATTAAAGATCACCTTT